GCTGGGTTGTATGTGGTGTGCTTATTGATGAATGTGGTTATGGTGTATGTTTTTGTTTGATTTTTGTGGCGTTAAAGGTGGGCAAAGAAATGGCATGTGTTGGTAAGTTTTTAGGAATGTTTCTGTGATTGTTTATAGATTGGTGACGAAGTGATGATGGTGATTTGTTTGGTTTGTGTTATAATGGAAATATAGAGGAATGTTAATTGAAAGTTGATGTATGATAAGTGGTTTGGACAATGTAGGGAGAGTGCGGTTAATTTTTTAACAAAAGTTGTTAAAAATGTCACGATAAAAAGAAACGAATGCGTAAAATAGGGTTTTAAATACAAGTCCCTAGAAAAGGGTAAAATAATAAGTATGTCCGGAGAGCATTAAACTATTTGCTACTTGAGAGGTAAATGGCGCGCCCTCCATGAATGGGGTCAAAGTGCATCAGTGTCAAGTTTGCTACAGGTTATCCATCAAACCATGACATTCTGGGTGTTAGGGGATTCATATGTTCGGCGGTCATGTGATGGACATGTCAAGAGGAAGATATCACCTGCTACGCACTTGAAGGGTTTAGTGAGGGCTACGCTAAAAAGAAACAAAGTGTAGAAGGTCGGTATGCCGGCGTAATGAAATTAGGGAGGAGGAATCCAACCGACCACTTGTATCTGTGAAGAGCAAGGAAGACGGTTAGAAGCAAGTTATGGCCCTGAAATTACAACCAGTGGCGCAAAAGAGCAAGTTGAGCTCGGCGGTTAGGGGGAAAGTATGCGCCTGAAGCCAATAACCTATAACACTCATACGTTGAGTAGCTCGGTTCTCGTGAGAAACACGGTTAATAGATAACCAGGTCCTCTGGCTTGGGAGTCCTTGAAGGCTGTTGGACGGGCATGTTCCTAGGAGGTGGGCGAATTCAGTAGACTTTGAGAATGCAAAGGTGTACAGTGACACTCCTCGTTTCCTTGGTTGAAGGTTAAGCACAATGGAAAGTTCCTATGTCTGTGGGTGACGCTTGCGGCTCGGCCTGTGGGTAGGATAACTTGGGCTAAATGGTACCTGAAGCAAAAATGTGCCTGGGAAGGTAAATGTTGGAACATCATCTATTTGGAGATAATGTTTGGGCTTTTGGTGGCATGCCATGGCGTATGACATTGGCTATCCTACATTTCAGTGACTGTCTGATGGGGCAAATAGTGCGATGCATTTTGTACATACCCTAAAAGTCAGAAGGAAAATGTGGGGGGGGAAGGGGGGGGTCCCCTTCATTGGGAAGTGGTTCTAGGCGTTCCTGTAGTTAAATGTCTATAACAGCGGCTTTTCAGGCCGCGGATCCTAGAGAAAAGCTGGGCAGGAATATATGATAGAATTTGTTTTATTTTTAGGGTTATGTTTTGTTTTAGGGGGGTTGGGGGTAGCGTCCAATCCTTCTCCTTATTATGGGGTGATAGGGTTGGTTGTAGCGGCTGTTGCTGGATGCGGTTGGTTGGTAAGTTTGGGGGTTTCTTTTGTTTCTTTGGTGCTGGTGATGGTTTACTTAGGGGGAATGTTGGTGGTATTTGTCTATTCGGTCTCATTGGCAGCGGATCCTTATCCTGAGTCTTGGGCAGATTGAGGGGTTGTTGGGTATGGTTTTGGTATGGGTCTGGTTGTTGTGGTTGGGCTGGTTGTTGGAGGTGTGTCTGGGGTGTTGGTGGATGAGGGGACGGTGAATAGTGGGGGGTTGTTATCTGTTCGGTCGGATTTTAGTGGGGTGGCTGTTCTTTATTCAGAGGGGGCGGGGTTGCTTTTAATTGGGGGTTGAGGGTTATTGTTGACTTTGTTTGTGGTATTAGAGCTTGTGCGGGGGTTATCTCGGGGGGCTATTCGGGCTGTTTAGGGTGGTCAGAAAGTAGTTTAGTTTGAAAATGCCAGCTTTGGGAGTTGGTGATGAGGGTTTGAATCCTTTCTTTCTGAAGTGGGCAAACTCTAAGAAGGGGCTTAATCTTCAATCTTTGGTTTACAAGACCAATGTTTTTATAAACTATTAGAGTTTTATAGTTTCAGTATTTTATTCTCTAGGAGGGCTGCGAGGGGGAATAAAATTAGAATGATCGTGAAGTAGGAGAGTGAGGCTAGTTGGCCGATAATGATGAATGGGTGTTCTACCGGTTGGCTGCCGACTCAGGTTAGGATTAGAACGTTGGCTACTAGGGATCAGAATAGGATTTGGGATAGGGGTCGGAAAGTTATCGATCGTAGTTTGGATGTATGGAGTAGAGGGAGTAGGAATAGGACTAGGATTGAGGCGGCTAGAGCTAGGACTCCTCCTAGTTTGTTTGGGATGGATCGTAGGATGGCATAAGCAAATAGGAAGTATCATTCGGGCTTAATATGGGGAGGAGTTACTAGGGGGTTAGCGGGTGTGAAGTTTTCTGGGTCTCCTAGCAGGTTGGGGGAAAATAGGGCTAGTGAGGCTAGGATGGAAAGTATTAATGCAAATCCTAGGATGTCTTTTGTGGTGTAGTAGGGGTGGAAGGGGATTTTGTCGCAGTCTGATGGGATTCCTAGTGGGTTGTTTGAGCCTGTTTCGTGCAGGAAGGTGAGGTGGACTAGCGTGAGTCCTGCGATGACGAATGGGAGTAAGAAGTGGAGGGCAAAGAATCGTGTTAGTGTGGGGTTGTCTACTGAGAATCCACCTCAGGCTCATTCTACTAGTGTTTGGCCAATGTAGGGGATTGCTGAGAGTAGGTTTGTGATTACTGTGGCTCCTCAGAATGATATTTGTCCTCATGGTAGGACATATCCTACGAAGGCAGTTGCTATGAGGGTTAGGAGTAGGATAACTCCGACGTTTCAGGTTTCTTTGTTTAGGTATGAGCCGTAGTAAATTCCTCGGCCGATGTGGAAGTAGATGCAGATGAAGAAGAAGGAGGCGCCGTTTGCGTGGAGGTTACGGATTAGTCAGCCAAATTGTACGTCTCGGCATATGTGGGCGACTGAGGAGAAGGCTAGGGAGGTGTCTGCTGTATAGTGTATAGCTAGTAGCAGACCTGTAACAATTTGGGTAATAAGACAAATGCCTAGGAGTGACCCGAAGTTTCATCATGTTGAGATGTTTGATGGTGTGGGCAGGTCAATTAAGGCGTCATTGATGATTTTTAGTAGTTCGTGGTTTTTTCGAAGGTTTGGGGCCATTAGTTGGTTCTGTGTATGGATGTGAGGATAATTAGGATGGATAGGGCAAATGTTCCTAGGTAGGCTTTGATTTGACCTGAGTGTAGGGAGGTGGCGGTTTTGGTTGCTATGACTTGCAGGTTGGCCAGTCCTTCTGGGCCAAATGTTTTAAGTCAAGATAGGTCAATTAGGTGGGAGGCGATGTTCTGGCCTCCTTTTAGAGAGCTTGTCATGCTGAGGCGGTGGATTAGGGGGTTAAAGAATCCTAGTGATGTTGAGAAGTTTGAGAAGGAGGTTTGTTTTGTTAGAATTAGAGTTTGGGTTATTTTTGAGATTTCTAGGGCTAGGGCAATTCCTAGGGCGGTTACTACAATGGCTGTGATTTTGATGGATAGCGGTATAGTTGTGGGTGGGGTTTTTGTGGGGATAATAAATGAGGTGATGAGGAATCCTGCTGTGATGCTTCCTAGTGCTAGTCGAGTTAGGGGTGAAGTTACTGCGGGGTTGTTTTCATTGATTGGGGCGAGGGGAGTGATTCGAACGAAGCCGGTTTGTACTAGTACGGTCATGCGGATTGTGTACACTGCGGTAAAGGATGTGGCTAGAAGGGTTAGGACTAGGGCTCAGGTATTTAAGTAGGATGTGTTTAGGCTTTCGATGATTTGGTCTTTTGAGTAGAATCCTGCTAGGAAGGGGGTTCCTATTAGGGCGAGGTTGCCAATGGTGAGGCAGGAGGTGGTTGTGGGTAGTATTTTTTGTAGGCCGCCTATTTTTCGGATGTCCTGTTCGCCGTTTAGGCTGTGGATAATGGAGCCGGAGCATAGGAATAGCATTGCTTTGAAGAAGGCGTGGGTTGAGATGTGGAGGAAGGCTAGTTCGGGGAGATTGAGTCCGATGGTGACTATTATTAGGCCGAGCTGGCTTGAGGTTGAAAAGGCGATGATTTTTTTGATGTCATTTTGGGTGAGGGCGCATGTGGCTGCAAATAGGGTCGATAGGGCTCCCAGGCATAGGCATAGGGTTAAGGCGGTTTGGTTGTTGTTGAATAGGGGGTGGGTTCGGATTAGTAGGAAGATTCCGGCTACTACTATTGTGCTTGAGTGCAGTAGGGCGGATACGGGGGTGGGTCCCTCTATGGCGGCTGGTAGTCAGGGGTGGAGGCCGAATTGGGCTGATTTGCCTGTTGCGGCTAGGATAAGTCCCAGTAGAGGGAGGGTGGGGGTTTGTGTTGGGGAGGAGAGTTGTTGGATTTCTCAGGTGTTTATGGTGGATGCTAGTCATGCTATGCATAGGATGAGTCCAACGTCTCCTACTCGGTTGTAAAGTACGGCCTGGAGGGCAGCAGTGTTGGCTTCTGCTCGTCCATGTCATCAGCTGATTAGTAGGAAGGATATGATTCCTACCCCTTCTCATCCAATGAATAGGACAAATAGGTTGTTGGCAATGATTAGGATGAGTATTGCGATTAGGAAGAGTAGGAGATAGGTAAAGAATTTTGTGATGTATGGGTCTGAGGCTATGTATCATGTTGCAAATTGTAGAATGGATCATGATACGAATAGGGCGATTGGGAAGAAGGTGAGTGAGTAGAAGTCTATTTTTAGGCTGATAGGGATTTTAAAGTTTATGATGAATTTTCATTCTCAGAAAGAAGTTAGGCTTTCTGTTCCTGAGTGGATGAAGATTATTATTGGGATTAGGCTAATTAGGAAGGAAGTTTTAACTGTGTTTGTGATAGTGGTGGGGGAATTTTTGAGGTTGTCTGATAGTATGGGGAAAATGATGGGGGTGGACAGGGTAGCTAGGGTTAGGAGTATGAGTGTGTTTAGGACTAGTAATAGGTCCATTACTTTCACTTGGATTTGCACCAAGGTGGATGGTTCCTAAGACCATTGGATTACTTCTATCCTTTGAAAGTAAGGGGACTGAGGTTTTATGCTCAGATGCGAGAATTAGCAGTTCTTGTTGGTTTGACCTCCCCTCGGCAGGTAAGAAGAGTTTAACTTCTATTTTTAGAGTCACAGTCTAATGTTTTGGGTTGAAACTATACTTGCATATGGGTACGCCGGAGATAAGTTCAGGCTTTAGGATAAGTAGGATTATGGGGATTATATGTAGGGCTATGAGGAGGTGTTCTCGTGTAGAGGAGTTTTGGATTGATGTAATGTGGGATGGGAGAGCTCCTCGTTGGGTTATTATGAGCATGTAGAGGGTGTATGAGGCGGTGAGTAGAATTGCACTTCCTGTGAGTAGGATTGTAAAGGAGGATCAGTTGAATAGGGCAACCACAATGGTTAATTCTGCTATGAGGTTTGTTGTTGGTGGTAGGGCTATGTTTGTCAGGTTGGCTAGTAGTCATCAGGTGGCTATGAGGGGTAGTAGTGGTTGTAGGCCTCGTGTGAGTAGGAGGATTCGGCTGTGGGTTCGTTCATAGTTGGTGTTGGCTAGGCAGAATAGTATTGAGGAAGTCAGTCCGTGTGAGATTATTAAGATTATTGCACCTGAGAACGCTCATTGGGTTTGAATTATTGTTGCGGCTACGACTAGGCCTATGTGGCTAACTGATGAGTAGGCGATGAGTGATTTTAGGTCGGTTTGTCGTAGGCAGATGGCGCTGGTTATTAGGGCTCCTCATAGTGCTAGGGTGATGAAGGGGTAATGTAAGTTGTTTGATGGTGGATTAACTAGAATGGTGACTCGTATGATGCCGTATCCTCCTAGTTTTAGAAGTAGGGCGGCCAGTAGCATGGAGCCAGCGATTGGTGCTTCTACGTGGGCTTTGGGGAGTCAGAGGTGAAGGCCGTATAGGGGGGCTTTTACTATAAAGGCTAGTAATAGGGCCAGGCTTGCAATTAGGCCTGATCAGGAGTTGTTTAGTGTAGGGTGGGAGAGTTTGAGCATTGGGAGGTATAGTGTACCGATTTGATTTTGTAGGTGAAGGATTGCAATTAGTAGTGGTAGTGAGCTGGCGAGGGTGTAAAATAGAAGGTAAATTCCAGCATTTAGTCGTTCTGGTTGGTTGCCTCATCGTGTAATGAGGATTAGGGTAGGGATCAGGGTTGCTTCAAATGCAATATAGAACAGCATTAGTTCTGATGCTGAGAAAGCTAGGAGGATGGATAGTTGGGCTAGGATAATTGTTGTAGTGAAGATTCGTTTGCGGATAGGGGGTTCTTGTTCTAGGTGATTCTGGCTTGCTATGACCATGAGCGGTAGTAGTCAGCACGATAGAACGAGTAGTGGAGAGGAGATTTGGTCGATGGAGGTTCAAGGGGTTAGGCCTTTGTTTGGGTAGTATGTTGGGACAAGTCATTGAAGGCTAACGCTAGCGATTAGGAAGCTATGTAGGGTGATGTTGGTTCATAGGTGTTTGTGTACGGATAGGAAGGTCAGTGGGAGGAGTATTATAGTTGGGATGATGATTTTTAGCATTGTAGGAGGTTGAAGTTGTGTAGGTGGTCGGAGCCGTGTGTTCGGGTAGAGGCTACTAGCAGGGCTAGGCCTGTGCCTGCTTCGCAGGCGGAAAATGTTAGTATGAGGATTGGCAGTAGGGTGGAGGATGTTGATTGTATTTGGATTGGTCATATGGCTAGGGCAACATACATTGATAGTATTATGCACTCTAGGCATAATAGGGCGGAGATTAGGTGAGTGCGGTGGAAGGCTAGTCCTAGGCTGCTTAGGGCGAATGCTGAGTAGAAACTTAAGTGAAGGTAGGACATGAAGAAAGTTATAGGGTTGGGACTATAATCTGTTGAGTCGAAATCAACTGTCTTGGTTAGACTAACTTTCTGTTACTCTGCTCATTCTAGGCCTCCTTGAGCTCATTCGTATACGAGCCCTAGTGTGAGTAGGAGGATAAGTATAAAGGCTAGTGTTAGGGTAGTGGTGGGTGATTGAAGTTGGACTGCTCACGGTAGGGGGAGTAGCAGGGCGATTTCTAGATCAAATAATAGAAATAGGATGGCTACAAGGAAAAAGCGGATTGAGAAGGGCAGTCGGGCGGACCCTAGGGGGTCGAATCCGCATTCATATGGGGATAGTTTTTCTGGGTCTGGGTTTATTTGAGCAATTCAGAAGTTTAATATGGTTAAGATGATACTTAGGGCTATTGATAAGGTGAATATGAAGGTGATTATGTTAATTACTCTTCTCTGGGTTTAAACCAGATTCTAAGGATTGGAAGTCGATTGTAATTGATATACTAGAAGAGTAAGATCCTCATCAGTAGATAGAGATATATAGGAATAGTCAGACGACGTCTACAAAGTGTCAGTATCATGCTGCTGCTTCGAAGCCGAAGTGGTGGTTTGATGTGAAGTGGAATTTAATTAGGCGTAGTAGGCATACTAGGAGGAATGTGGATCCGATGATTACGTGGAGGCCGTGGAATCCGGTAGCGACGAAGAAGGTTGAGCCATATACTCCGTCGGCAATGGAGAATGGGGCTTCGTAGTATTCTATGGCCTGGAGGGCAGTAAAGTAGAATCCTAGGAGGACTGTTAGAGTTAGGGCGTGGATTGCCTGTTTTCGGTTAGCTTCTGTGATACTGTGGTGGGCTCATGTGACGGTGACTCCGGAGGCTAGTAGGATGGCGGTGTTTAGGAGTGGGACGTCTATGGGGTTTAGTGGTTTAATTCCTACGGGAGGTCATTGTCCTCCTAGTTCTGGGGTGGGGGCTAAGCTTGAGTGGAAGAAGGCTCAGAAGAATCCTAGGAAGAAGAAGGCTTCTGATGTGATGAAAAGGGCTATTCCGTATCGTAGGCCTTTTTGAACGGTGGGGGTGTGGTGGCCTTGGAATGTGCTTTCTCGTACGATGTCTCGTCATCATTGGAATATTACTAGGGCGGTGGAGAGTAGGCCTAGGATTAAGAGTTGTGGGGAGTTGTAGTGGAATCATATTGTTAGTCCTGAGGTAGTTAGGAGGGCAGCGGCTGCTCCTAGAATGGGTCATGGGCTGGGGTCTACTATGTGATAGGAATGTGCTTGGTGAGCCATTGGGGTTAGATGTTTTCTTGTAGGTAGAGGCTTAGCAGTAGGACAAAGACGTAAGCTTGAATTATTGCTACTGCCACTTCTAGGATAGTCAATAGGAATAGGACTAGTAGAGTTAGGAGGGAGACTGCTGGTATTGTTGTGGCTAGGGCTACTGTGGCTGTGGAAATGAGTTGGATTAGTAAGTGTCCTGCTGTGAGATTGGCTGTTAGTCGTACTCCTAGGGCTAGCGGTCGGATGAGTAGGCTTGTTGTTTCGATTAGAATGAGGGCTGGGATTAGTAGTGTTGGGGTCCCTTCTGGTAAGAGGTGGGCTAGGGAGATGGAGGGTTGGTTTCGTAGTCCCGTTAGGAGGGTGGCAAGTCATAGGGGAAAGGCTAGTGCCAGGTTTATTGATAATTGGGTGGTTGGGGTGAATGTGTATGGTAGTAGTCCTAGTAGATTAATAAGTAGTAAGAAGACTATTAGGGATGTTAGGATTAGGGCTCATTTGTGTCCCTTTTTGTTTAGTGGGGTTATTAGTTGTTTTGTAACTAGGTTGATGAATCATAGTTGTAGGGTTGATAGTCGATTTGTGATTCATCGGTTGTCCATGGAGGGTAGTAGTAGGGCTGGGAATGTTATTGAGATAAGGATCAGTGGGATTCCTAGGAGGGATGGGCTGGAGAATTGGTCGAAGAAGCTTAGGTTCATGGTCAGGTTCAGGGGGTAGTTTTTGGTGTGGAGTATACTTTGTTGGATGGGGGGTTGGCTGATACGAATGTTAGGATTTTGGGTTGGATGATTATGGAGAAGGTCAGTCATGAAATGAGCATGATAAAAAGTCAGGGGTTTGGGTTTAGTTGAGGCATATCATTAAGGAGGGGTGGGTTCCTCTTTCTTTAGCTTAAAAGGCTAACGCTGGTTCATAGCTTCTTAATGGTTGGTGATGTTTAGGATGAGATTGAAGAAGATCAGCTTTCGAAGTTGGCGAGAGGGGTGGATTCTACTACGATTGGTATGAAGCTGTGGTTTGCTCCGCAGATTTCTGAACATTGTCCGTAGAAGACTCCTGGTCGGGATGCAAATAGGGAGGTTTGGTTCAGGCGTCCTGGGATTGCGTCGGTTTTTACGCCTAAGCTGGGTACGGCTCATGAGTGGAGTACGTCGTCAGCAGTTACAATTACCCGGATGGTGGAGCTTGTGGGGATTACAACTCGGTGGTCGACTTCTAGGAGTCGGAAGTGGCCTAGGGGTAGGTCTGTTGTAGGGATCATGTAGGAGTCAAATGTTAGGTCTTTGAAGTCGGTATATTCGTAGGATCAGTATCATTGGTGACCGATAGCTTTTAGGGTGAGGTCTGGTTCGTTGATTTCGTCTATTATATATAGGATTCGTAGGGATGGTAGGGCCAGCATAACTAGGACTATGGCTGGAAGGATTGTTCAGACGAGTTCGATTGCTTGTGCGTTGACTGTGTTGGAGGTTAGTTTTTCTGTGAGCATAAGGGTTAGGAGGTAGAGGACTAGGCTGCAAATTGCTAGAGCAACTATTAGTGCGTGATCGTGGAATCCTATTAGTTCTTCTATGATAGGAGATGAGGCGTCTTGGAAGTTAAATTGTGAGTGGTTTGCCATGGTTGAGCGTGGAGATGCACTGGAGTTTCACCTGTAATTTAGTCTTGACAAGACTATGTAATGTTTTTACTAGCATCTCTTTATGAGAAAGAAGCATAGGTGGTTATGCGGTTGGCTTGAAACCAACATGCGGGGGTTCGACTCCTTCCTTTCTTGGACTTGGACGAAGGCTGGTTCTTCGAATGTGTGGAAGGGTGGTGGGCAGCCGTGAATTCATTCAATATTAGTGCTTGTTAGTTCTGGTTGTAGGACTTTACGTTTTGATGCGAAAGCTTCTCAGATAATGAACACTAGTATGATTACAGCTGTTAGGGAGATGAGTGATCCTACTGATGAGATGGTGTTTCATAGTGTGTAGGCGTCTGGGTAGTCTGAGTATCGTCGTGGTATTCCGGCTAGGCCTAGGAAGTGTTGTGGGAAGAAGGTTAGGTTTACTCCTACGAATATTACTCCGAAGTGTACTTTGGCTCATGTTGAGTGGAGTGTGTACCCTGTGAATAGGGGGAATCAGTGGGTGAATCCTGCTAGGATTGCAAACACTGCTCCTATTGATAGGACGTAGTGGAAGTGGGCTACTACGTAGTAGGTGTCGTGTAGGGCGATGTCTAGTGAGGAGTTGGCCAGGACGATTCCGGTTAGGCCTCCGATGGTGAATAGGAAGATAAATCCTAGAGCTCATAGTATTGGTGGGTCTCACTTGATTGTGCCTCCGTGGAGTGTTGCTAGTCAGCTGAATACTTTGATGCCGGTTGGGATGGCGATGATTATAGTGGCGGATGTAAAGTATGCTCGGGTGTCTACGTCCATTCCTACTGTAAACATGTGGTGGGCTCATACGATGAATCCTAGGAATCCGATGGATAGCATAGCTCATACTATTCCTATATATCCGAATGGTTCTTTTTTACCTGAATAGTAGGTTACGACGTGGGAGATGATGCCGAAACCTGGTAGGATTAGGATGTAAACTTCTGGGTGACCAAAGAATCAGAAGAGGTGTTGGTATAGTACTGGGTCTCCTCCACCTGCTGGGTCAAAGAATGTTGTGTTTAGGTTACGGTCTGTAAGGAGCATTGTGATTCCAGCAGCTAGGACTGGAAGTGATAGTAGAAGCAGGACTGCAGTGATTAGTACGGATCATACGAATAGGGGGGTTTGGTATTGTGATAGGGCAGGTGGTTTTATGTTGATTGCTGTTGTGATGAAATTGATTGCCCCTAGGATTGAGGAAATGCCTGCCAAGTGCAGGGAGAAGATAGCTAGGTCTACTGAAGCTCCGGCATGGGCTAGGTTTCCGGCTAGTGGGGGATACACTGTTCATCCTGTTCCCACTCCTGCTTCAACTGTTGAGGATGCTAGTAGTAGGAGGAAGGATGGGGGTAGAAGTCAGAAGCTTATGTTATTTATTCGTGGGAATGCTATGTCTGGGGCTCCGATCATCAGAGGTACTAGTCAGTTTCCAAATCCTCCGATCATGATTGGCATAACTATGAAGAAGATTATCACAAAAGCATGGGCCGTGACGACGACGTTGTATACTTGGTCGTCTCCTAGGAGGGCTCCAGGTTGGCCTAATTCTGCTCGAATAAGGAGGCTTAGGGCGGTACCCACTATTCCGGCTCAGGCGCCGAAGATTAGGTATAGGGTTCCGATGTCTTTGTGGTTGGTTGAGAATAATCATCGGTTAATGTATGTCATAGGTAAGATGGCTGAGTGTATAAGCGTTAGGCTGTAGTCCTTTTTACAGAGGTTTAATTCCTCTTCTTATCGGCCCTGTGGTGAAGTTCATGGTGAGTTGCAAGCTCATTGATGTGCATTAATTATGCGCCGGGGTCTGTAGGTAGAAGCCTGTTGGTTTGGGCATATAGCTGTTAACTATAGTGTTGTGGGATCGAAGCCCATCTGCCTAGTTGGTGGGTAAGGTCCTAGCTTAATTAAAGTGCCCGAGTTGCGTTTGGGAGATGCAGGGTAATGTCCTGCGGACTTTATCAGAAACTAAGAGGGTTTAACTCTTGTTTAAGGCTTTGAAGGCCTTCGGTTTAAGTGATCCTAAGTTTCTTAGATGATGGTGATGATTATTGGGGCAATTGGGAGGAGAGTGATGGATAGGGAAGTCAGGATGGCGACTAGGGTTTTAGTAGGTTTGTTAACATGCCATTGTTTTATGTGGCTGATGGTGTGTGGGGGAAGTGTGATGGTTGCGCAATATGCAAGTCGGAGGTAGAAGAATAGTCCTAGCAGGGATAGTAGGGAGATGATTGTGGCTGCTGGAGCTATGTCCTGTTTAGTTAGTTCTTGGATAATGAGTCACTTTGGCAGGAATCCTGTTAGGGGAGGCAGTCCTGCAAGAGATAATAGAGTTAGTATTAGTATTGCGCTTAGTGATGGGGCTTTTGCTCATGCGGTTATTAAGGTTGATAATTTTAGTACTTTAATTGAGTTTAGGGTTAAGAATACAGCTGCGGTTATTAGTGTGTATAGGTAGAAATTGAGGAGGGTGAGTTTGGGGTTGTACGTGATGATGATAGCTATTCATCCTAGGTGGGAGATGGATGAGAAGGCTAGGACTTTTCGGACTTGTGTTTGGTTTAGTCCTATTCATCCTCCCAGGGCTGTTGAGAGGATGGCTATGGTAGTCAGAAGGGCAGGGTTTAGGGAGGGTGAGGTTATAAAGAGGAGTGTTATGGGTGGTAGTTTTATGGCTGTGGATAGGATGAGTCCGGTGGTAAGGGGAGACCCTTGTAGGACTTCTGGAAATCAAAAATGGAAGGGTACTAGGCCTAGTTTTATTGCGATTGCGGAGGTTAGGATCAGGCAGGATGTTGGGTGGGTTAGTTGGGTAATATCTCATTGTCCGGTATGTCATGCGTTGGTCATGCTGGAGAATAGTACTAGGGCTGAGGCAGCTGCTTGGGTTAGGAAGTACTTGGTTGCGGCTTCGATGGCTCGGGGGTGATGGGATTTTGAGATTAGTGGTAGGATAGCGAGTGTGTTGATTTGTAGTCCGGCTCAGGCTGTAATTCAGTGGTTGCTTGAGATTGTGATGGTAGTGCCTAGTAGGAGGCTGGTGATGAAGATTAGTTTTGCTTGGGGGTTCATTAGCAGGGGAAGGGGTTGAACCATCATTTTCGGGGTATGGGCCCGATAGCTTGTTTAGCTGACCCTGCTAGAAAATAATATAAAGGAAGTATAGAGGGTTTTGATTTCTCTAGTGTAGGTTCGATCCCTACTTTTCTAAGTATCAGGAAATGAGAGGATTGGTGCACCTCTATGTTCACTTTATCATAGTGACCCTTAAGTGTTCAGGCACATTTCCGGTTGTCTTAGGTATGGGGGTAGGCCTGCATAGCAAATTGGTATGCTAATGTGTCACAGACATAGGGCTAGTGTAAGTGGAAGGAAGTTTTTTCATAGTAGGTGTATTAGCTGGTCGTATCGGAATCGCGGGTAGGAAGCACGGATTCACAGGAATCCTGCTGATAGGAGGAGTACTTTTGTTGCGAGGATTACTGGAAATAGTTCTTGCTGGGGGTTGAGGAAGCTTGGGTTAAAGAATAGGATGGTAGTCAGTGCGTTTATTAGTATGATGTTGGCGTATTCGGCTAGGAAGAATAGGGCGAATGGACCTGCTGCATATTCTACGTTAAATCCGGATACTAGTTCAGACTCTCCCTCTGTTAGGTCGAATGGGGCACGATTTGTTTCGGCTAGCGTGGATACATATCATATTATGGCTAGTGGTCAGCATGGGAAGATGAGGTAAAGGGGTTCTTGGGTCACTGCTAGGGTGCTTAGGGTATAGTTCCCACTGAGTAGGATGACAGATAGAAGAATAATTGCTAAGGTTACCTCGTAGGAGATTGTTTGGGCTACTGCTCGGAGTGCCCCAATTAAGGCGTATTTTGAGTTGGAGGCTCATCCTGATCATAGGATAGAGTATACTGCTAGGCTTGATATGGCTAGTAGGAATAGAACGCCTAGGTTTAGGTCCGCTAGGGAGAATGGTAGGGGGAGTGGTATCCAAATTGAAATTGCTAGGAGGAGGGCTAGCATGGGCGTTGTGATAAATAGGATTGGGGAGGATGTTGATGGTCGGATTGGTTCTTTGATGAATAGTTTGATGCCATCTGCCAGGGGTTGGAGGAGTCCGAATGGTCCCACGATATTTGGGCCTTTTCGGCTTTGTATGTAACTTAGGATTTTACGTTCTACTAGTGTTAGGAAGGCTACTGCGATCAGGATTGGGAGGGCATAGGAGAGGGCTATGATGAGGTTAATTAGGAGAGGGTAGTTGGTCATGGGGTAGTTTGGAGCTAGGGAGAGGATTTGAACCTCTGGGTTAAAGGACTTAAGCCTTTTGCATTTTCCGAACTCTGCCACGCTAGCTGGTCCTTTTCTTGGATGTGGGGGGGTGTGATAGCTTTTCGTAATTTAGTTGACTTCATTACTTAAGGCGAAGGCTTGCTTGTAGTATTGGCCTCACTTTTCCTATCCTTTCGTACTGGGAAGAGTTCATCATAGATGGAAACCGACCTGGATTACTCCGGTCTGAACTCAGATCACGTAGGACTGTTAATCGTTGAACAAACGAACCCTTAGTAGCGGCTGCACCACTAGGATGTCCTGATCCAACATCGAGGTCGTAAACCTCCCCGTCGATACGGACTCTCGGAGGAGATTGCGCTGTTATCCCTGGGGTAGCTTGGTCCATTGATCAATTATATTGGGTCTGGGTGCTGTTAGCACGTTGAGGGGTTGCTCTTAGTCTAGATTTATGGTCTAATTTTTGGAGGCTTTGTTTTACTCCAAGGTCGCCCCAACCGAAAAACACGTACCAATCTCTTATGTGTCAGTGAGCCCAGTGGGTGTATATGTGATATAAGGTGGTCGTTGGTTTTGAAGTTCCACAGGGTCTTCTCGTCTTATGGGTTTATCCCTGCTTTTGTACAGGGAGATCAATTTCACCGATTGCCTGTAAGAGACAGTTAAGACCTCGTTTAGCCATTCATACAAGTCTCGATTTATGGGACAATTGATTGCGCTACCTTTGCACGGTTAGGATACCGCGGCCGTTAAACGTGAGTCACCGGGCAGGCATCACCTTCAATACTTGTCTGTTGGTTTGCTGAAGGCTATGTTTTTGGTAAACAGTCGGGCCTTGACGGGTTTGCCTAGTTCCTTTTACAGGTTTTAATCTTTCTTAATGGACGCTCCTCTGTCGGGTTAACAAGATACCTAATACTCTGCTTGTTTGATTTATCGTATATTGGTGGTTTGTTAATAATGTATAGATGTAAGCTTGCGTCGTAGAGGGAGGACCCTGGTTACTCATTCTAGCATTAATTCTCCTATTTGTATATAGGTTAGCCTGTTAGTGGGGAGGGAGTCATAAAATTCTTATATTTTTTGGGTACGGAGCTTTAACGCACTCTTTGTTGATGGCTGCTTAAGGGCCCACAGTAAGTTCGTATGTTATTATTTATCCGCTCGTAGAGATTGTATTCTTTTTTAAAGGAGCTGTACCTCCTTTAAATAGCCCTTAATTCGCTTCATTAGGGTTCTTGAGTTTCCTTGGAGAAGAATTAAGAGTGAACTTAGATTCGTTTCACAGGCAACCAGCTATCACCCAGCTCGATTGGCTTTTCACCTCTACCGACAAGTCATCCCACTCTTTTGCCACAGAGACGGGTTCGCTCTGACAGCTGCTCGTAGGTAGCTCGCTTGGGTTTCGGGATGGCAAACTTAAATTCATTTTGCTTGGTTTTTCTTGCTAGACCATGATGCAAAAGGTACAAGGGTTGATCTTTGCTGTTTATAGCTTAGTTTTCATTGTTATTTCATCTTTCCCTTACGGTACGTGGTCTCTATCGCTCCAATGGTGTCTTTTCTATCGCCTATACTAGGACTAGTGAATGCTTTAGTTGGGTGTATGTAGTAGCTTTGTTATTCCAGGTCATGTCGATTGGGCTAGAGTTTGGCATCAAGACGATCTGGTGTTAGCAGATATTTTTCAGGTGTAAGCTGAATGCTTTTGCTTAAGCTACGTCTTGGTATTCTAAGTGCACCTTCCGGTACACTTACCTTGTTACGACTTACCTCATCTTTGGCTGGATAGCTTATTAATTTATGGGGGGGGGGGGCGCCTGCGAGGAGGGTGACGGGCGGTATGTACGTGCCCCAGGGCCGGCTTAAAGAGGGCTCGATTGTCCCACTTTACTGCTAAATCCGCCTTCCAGGGACCGTTTCAAGTCCCTTTGCCGTATGTTCTAATCTAGAAAATGTAGCCCATTGCTTCCATTCCATAGGCTATACCTTGACCTGTCTTATTAGCGTGGTTAGGGCTGTTGCGTCCACTGTTGGGCTTTCAGGGGAGGTGGGCTGGCGACGGCGGTATGTAGGCTGAATTATGGCAAGGAATGGTCAGGTATAACGTGGATCATCGATTACAGAACAGGCTCCTCTAGGTGGGTTTGGGGCACCGCCAAGTCCTTAGAGTTTTAAGCGTTAGTGCTCGTAGTTCTCGGGCGGATGCTTGAGTAGGGTTAAGCATCAAGATTTAGGGCCAGGCATAGTGGGGTATCTAATCCCAGTTTGGGCCCTGGCTTTCGTGGAGTTCAATTAATCGTTGTTCTAAGATCTTCTTTGACGTGGAGGCCTTACTAGCATCTTGGGCTTGTGACGGCTCAGTTGCCTTTTAATCTTAGCTACTTGGATAACATGTGACCACCCTTTACGCCGTTATAAAGTTAATTTGGGTCTCCTGTATGACCGCGGTGGCTGGCACAGGATTTACCAACCCTAAATTTGCTATGGCTAAGTCAAGTTTACACTCATTGCTTAATATTAACTACTGCTGAATACCCGTGGGGGTGTGGCAATTGCAAGGCGTCTTGGGCTACGGTGAGGTGTGAGCCTGATGCCCGCTCCTATCTACCCTTGTGGGGGTGTCCAGGGCATCTACACTGGGGCGCGGATACTTGCATGTATATTCCTAGCAAAAACTAACAGTAAGGTTAGGACTAAGTCTTTTGTCTTCGGGCGTGTGTGCAACGGCCGTCTTGACATCTTCAGTGTCATGCTTTTTGTAAGCTACAAAGAC